ATTTTTGTATCAAGTTTATTTAACATATTTGCATAACATTACAATTCTGTGTGGTATTGTAATTAAATCAATTGATGTAATATTTGTTTCACTATCAAAATCATTTTCCAAGTTATTAAGGTTTAAAATCTTCACTTAAGTATGTTCTCAGCTCATGGTCTTGAAAATATAGAAGACATTCAGTGCACTTTATGCATAAAGCCTCGAGGGACCTCTTCCAATCAAAATTATTCGTTAACTTTTCATATTTCCATCTCCTTCCCAAGAACCACCAAGTCAATATTTCAGCCATACTTGGTAAAGAATATGCTAATTCGGTAAAAGTATCAAAGAAGGGCAATACTCTATTTCTAGTAGAGAATATCACTACTTGTAAATAAGGGGAAATGAGGAAGCATTGAAATATTTTGTTATGAACCACTGGGCTAGAAAAGATGAAACTAAAACCAAAAGTGATCTTAATTTATTTTGTTGGCCCCTGAGTGTGATCCCACCTCTGATGTTTTATAGGTCGGTGTTTGTTTTACTTCCAATATGAATAGTTTCAGTCGATTGATTGATTGTATATTGTTTAACGTCCCTCTTGAGAATTTTTCACTCATATGGAGACGTCACCGATGCCGGTGAAGGGCTTCAAATTTAGACCTACTAGTATACTCGGCACTCAGGGCCATTGAGCAGTGAGGGTTCTTTATCATGCCAACGCCTACCGTGACACGGACCTACGTTTTTAAGGTCATATCCGAAAGACCCGTGACTTTCACTTCTAGTGCCGAGCGCTTGGCGAAGGAACAGTCACTACCTATGTTTACGTCTTAGGTATGACACGGCGCCGCGATCGAGAATCGAACCCGGGCCTCCCGATCACGAAGCGAACGCTCTACCACTAGGCTACCGTGGACATTTAATTTTGAATTTTTTCGTTGTATTCATATTACAGATTATCATTTACAAATATCGAATGCGGAAATAATACCTACATCCATTGCGTAAGAAATTGCATAAACACTGGCACTACATTTGTGTACATTCTCCAACATAAATGTACATTTTAATTCCCACATATACGAAAATAAATATTTCACTCCTGTATATACATGTATAAATAAATTTATTAACGTTACGTAGGTGACAGTATGACATATCAATCCTGTTTATACATGAATGAAATTGAAATACGTTTCCTAGGTGACAGTATGACGTATCAATCCTGTTTAAACATGAATGAAATTGAAATACGTTTCCTAGGTGACAGTATGACGTATCAATCCTGTTTATACATGAATAAATGGAAATATATATACGCTTTCTAGGTGACAGTATGACATATCACTCCGCTATGGCCTTCACTACCCGGGACAAAGACAGGGATAGGTACAGATTAAACTGTGCCGACATCAACAACGGTGCCTGGTGGTTCGACAGCTGCCATAAAACCTTCCTTAACGGACCCTGGGCCCCTGGAACCTGGCGAGGTCCGTGGCGCCCTATCCTGGCGGGTGGTGGCCAGATAGTAGAGACCGTTATGATGATAAAACCGCACTAAGTGGGACATGATGATCAAACCGCACTGAGGGGGACATGGTGATCAAACGGCACTAAGGTAGACATGATGATCAAACGGCACAAAGGGTGACATGATGATCAAACGGCACAAAGGTAGACATTATGATAAAACCATACTCGTCAATTTATATTATAAAACTTCAGTGTTATAAAACGTGTTGGCTCTTTGCATATGTTGTTTTGTTTAAATATACTTTTGAACGTCACTGTTAAATGTAATATACATGTTATCAATGCAATTCAAATTATCTTATTATATGTGCATTGTATATAATGATTCTCGCTTTTTCGTGTACATTAATTTAGTTGATTGTTATTCCTTCTAAGGGGTGTTAAGAAAGTTCGCTCCATGATGAAATATTTTCAAAAATTTCAATGTAGTGTTTGACTAAAGAGATTAATTTTCAAGTCTGACAAAATCACAAAAGGGTGCTTTAGATTCAAAGCAATTCATTTCTAGCAGGAAATTATAGGACTTTTCTTCCATATGAAAATATACATAACATCTTTAAAGCACCCGAATAATGGAAATGCTGGTCATTTTGAGTGAAAATAAAGGATAGTTTACTTTTGTTTCTTCATTGCTTATCTTGCATCAGATAAGCTGATGAACGTAGATATAAGAAAAAATATCACTTTTCAAAAGAATAGGTTTGTCATTTTGAATCTTTTCACAGATTGGATAATTTTTGCCTAGTATTTGAAAGGATGTTTTGACCTGTGTGCTAAATACATGTCTCAAATGTGCGTCATCTCTGATTTTTCTGAAAAAAAAACAGTTTGTTTTAATACCTTCCCTACACTTACTGATTCAACAAAAGACAGTAAAAACCTTATCAGTAGCAAGAATGGACTCTGTAAACATGAAATATCGCAAATTGTATATATCTTCTCATTGTATTTCTTTTCGAAAATAAAAGAAAAATGTGGAACGAACTTTCTTAACACCCTTTATAATGCAACTTTTACTCTGTGATTTTTTTTATTGATTACTTATGTATATACAAATGTAACTGCTTTACTGTTTTTATGTAATGATATTTTTTGTCCTAATAATTGTATACTGAAATAATAAAGAAAAAAATTACATTAAGGTTTCTGAAACTTAATGCAAACAATTTTAAAGGATGTTTTTGGGTGTCATTTAGTCACAAATATAATAGTGCCTTGACTTCTCCAACAAAAAAAGAATAAAACACAAAGAAAAATTAAAAAACAAATTTTACTGTCAGAGAGTGTATCAATATAACATGTATAAATTGACATTTTTCTGTATTTTCTACACAACATGCTATGAAATGGAAATGTGTGGTACTAGAGTGCTATATCGTTGAGGAGTATCATGGCTTTCCAGAAGATCTGAAATTTTATTTCTTAAACGTAAACGTACTGCGTCAGGCCTTCAAAATAAAAAAAAAACATACTGATCATGCATTTTCTTCTTATTCAGCTTGTTTTCTCATGACAGTATTGGAGCAAAACTTTATGTTTTTTTGAAACTTCTCATATGAACGATACCGTATTTTTCAACACATTCCGAAGGAACATGTGACGTCGGATCTATGATCACTTCCTCAAATTTGCTGGCATAATCCCATGCTTTGGATCCACGTGATATATGACGTTCTCGTATTTCTTCCTTGGTCATATCTATAATTTGGGCTCTGTCTTTAAGTTTCGTGATGTTTATCCGCACCACCTCTCTTACTCTTTGATACTCATTCGTTAGACATCCTAGCCTCTCTATGCCATAAATCGTTTTACAGCAGGAAATATACCTCGATTCCTGGCCCCAACTCCCACTTTCTACATGTTGCTGAATACTAATTCCAGACTTGATGTTCTTTGGTCTCAGTCCCTCGAGATAATTTTCGTTAAATCTAAGGATTCGGTAAATATATTCATCAGGCTCATTTTCTACGGAAACTTCATCATCGGAATTCGGTGTCTCATCTTCTCTTTCTTCTAAGCTGTTTTCATCGGCAGCATTAATTGTCTCGAGTGTTTGATCCTCTACTTTTAGTGATGCCTGTCCCTCGCGACTGGTAGCTGTTGTATGATCTTCTTTTTCGACCTGTTCCTCGTCCTCGGTAAATTGTTTTGAGCTTTCATCTTTGTTAGATTCAGTTTTGCTTTCTATAGGAATTCGCAAGTAATGGTTACCACTCTCCTGTGATTCCTTATCGTTTCCCCTCACATCATTCTCTGCTAAATGATTTGTTTCATTTTTGAATCAAGCAGGCTTAAAATTCCATTTAAATCAACTCTTCCTGGTCAGAAGATCTAGGTATTTTTCTCTTTAATTCCGTTTCTTCATCAATGGAAGTTGCTAGTATAAAAAAAATCAACATAATATGACTGAATTAATAATGCAAAGCTGTGCTATAATTTTGTAGTAATATGACTTGCATGGGAAAATGTATATCTTTCCTTCTTACCTTAATAGTAGGAATTTTCAGTTATTTTTAAATAACTTTAAATTATCCGAAATATTATTATATATCAAAATTACATTTTATAAATTATTTAATAAAAGGTTCAACATATTAGAAAGTTGTAGCTAAGCTCATATATGAATTCGGTGGAAATTATCTCAGTGCCTTTTTTATTTAAAAATGATATAATCATAAACTGTCCTTCGCGACTGGTATCTGTTGTAATGATCTTCTTTTTCGACGCGTCTGTTCCTCGTCCATTAACGGTAAATTGTTTTGAGCTTTCATTTTGTTTGTTGTTTATCTTATTTTGTTGAATTTTGTTACAGAAATTCAGTTTTTTTTTCTATACGGAATTCGCGTTAATGCTCGTTTTACTGGACATCAGTGCATTAGCCAATCACAGAGTGTTTTACAAAACAATTGCATTAGAATGACCAATTTATGTACAAGTTGAAAGAATTAATTTTATATTTAGTAACAAACCCTTTCGTTTGGATCCTAAATTTATCTTCAAAACATCCTGTCTAGCTTCCATGATGTCTTATTGTCTGAAAATATAGCGACATTTTTTTGGCACCTGATCACATCTAATTTTTTTGGAGGTCCCTGTTTGTTCTGCTCCAATTTCGTATTGTTTAAAGGACTGCTTGTGTTTCTTTCAAATTCAATCGATTCATTAGTGATTTCCGAAAAAACATAGAGCACAAGATCTGAGATTTATATACACAAGATGCACCGCGAAATATATAATTGATTACCGAAACCAAATTCTGCGTTTTGTTTTCATATTTTAGCACTGCTCATATATCTCTTATGGCAGGGATGCAAAACCATCTGACACCCCAAACCAAGGGCCAAAATAAGGTTCTTGCCTATCGTTTCCTTTGTCTTTCCCATATGAGGATTTAAATCAGAACATACGTATTCATATGCAATTTTTAATCGCCAAATAGATAGTGAAAAAAGTATTGGGAGAAAAAATAAAGTTTTTAAAAATGTCATCATCGCTGGTCTGGTCAGACGATCTTGGTATTTTTCTCTTTACTTCCGTTTCTTCATCAATGGAAGCTACAGGTGCATTCTTACCAGTTGAATTTTCGAAAAACGGTGTATCTTCTTCTTTTTCGATCTGTTCCTCGTCCTCGGTAAATTGTTTTGAGCTTTCATCTTTGTTAGATTCAGTTTTGCTTTCTATAGGAATTCGAAAGTAATGGTTACCACTCTCCTGTGAATTCTTATCGTTTCCCCTCTCATCATTCTCTGCTAAATGATCATAGTCCTCAATTTTCTTTGTTGTCGATTGAAATTCAATCGATTCATTCATAATGAAAAGCTGTGCTATAATTTTGTAGTAATATGACTTGCTTGGGACCAGGTATATCTTTCCTACTTAAGGACAGACGAGACATTCCTCATTAATATATATTTTTTGCTAATATTTTGTCATTGAAGAATTACTAATTTAACATGTTTACTCAAAAACAAATTGAGGTACCTTACCAGGCATTTGTGCAAGATACCTGAGGATGATATTTCTTATATAATCCTTTAGGAAAAATAACTGTTTGCCAAAATTACATTTTTAGTGTTTCAAATTTTAAAAATCTATTAGAAACCTATTTAGAAATCAGAAAATAATAAATATTTTGTATAATTTTCAAGATATACTAAAGAGATGTTTGGGGAACGTATCGTCTGACCTTAACTTAAAATTATCGGAAAAATCATTTTCAATGATTATTCTATATCAAAATTAAATTTCATAAATGATTTAATAAAAGATTCATCATATTAGAAAGTTCTAGCAAAGCTCATGTACATGAATTCGGTAGAAATTTTCTGCAATGCCGTTTTTTAAATTTAAAAATGATATAATCATAAACGAATTGAGTGAATGTTAAATGACCAATTCATGTACAAGTTGAAAGAATTATTTTGAGAATTAGTATCAAACCCTTTCGTTTGGATCCCAAGTTTATCTTCAACATATCCTGTGTAGCTTCCATGATGTCTTATCGTCTGAAAATTAAACGATATTTAAATATACAGAAGCCTGTGTGTGTGTTGTGCCTACCATAAAAAATATAACTTTAGTAAATTCATTGATCTTATACATGGAACCAGCATTTGCTTTTTACCATATCTCTTATGAAACGGTCTTTTGCTGATGTTTTATGTATGTTTATTATGTTATTGCAGGCTTAGCTTAGATACGTTATTCCAAAGTCAGTTCCTGTTCAAAATATTTTTTTTTCCAAAAATGGTCTTGGTATCTTTAAAAAGATACTGGAAAAAGTCAAACTTCCAAAAATTGTTTAATCCTGTAAACTAAGGGTTTCAATATTTTCTCTTAAATTCTAATCCACTCTGGCGACCAAAGTTACCATTTGGTGTTAAAATTTCAACAAACTTGCATCTACACTACCTGAAACTGCCCCCACGTATTAAAGTGACTTATCATCATTTTGTCGTCCACAAGATTTGTAGTTTTTAATATTAAGATATTTTCGAATACATGTATATTCTAATATTTTAGGAGATGTTCTTCAGGAGATGCTAATTCCTTGTTGGCACCTATCACATCTCAATTTTTTGGAGGTCCCTGTTTGCTCTGCTCCAATTTTGAATTGTTTAATGGACTGCCGAGCTTGAATTTTGATTTTTAGCTTATTCTTGTATTTCTCTATGTGAGAAAAACCTACCCTAGCATCATTTTTTTTCACAAAGGACAAGATATTGTTAGGACCGGCTCCTGTCCCTGATTTGATATTAATTTCATTATATTTCACTTCGGAAAAACAAGGAGCACAAGCTTGCTCATCTGAAATTTATATAGACAAGATTGATTGTTTAACGTCCCTCTCGAGAATTTTTCACTCATTTGGAGACGTCACCGTATGCCGGTGAAGGGCTTCAAATTTTGACCTTTACTCGGCACTCAGGGCCATAGAGCAGTGAGGGATCTTTATCGTGCCAACGCCTGCCGCTGACACGGGGCCTCGGTTTTTTAAAAGATCTCATCCGAAGGACCCGCAACTTTCACTTCAAAGTGCTGAGGGCATGGCGAAGGAACAGTTGCTACCTATTTTTGATCGACTTAGGTCAGTCGCGGCCGAGATTCGAACTCACCCTCTCCCGATCGATGCTAGTGTATGAAATATGTACATTTGGTCGAAAGGGGAACTACTGCTCTATGCTTTCTGGAACCAAATGTGCCATAAAGGGACGAAAATTTGCATAAAAAGGGATAAAATATGGAATTAGACATATTTTATGATCTTCTTCTGATTGATTGTTTCCATTAAATTCAAATGCTCATTTTATGGCAGGGATAACAATTTTTATTCAGTTGATAAACTGTTGCATCTTTTTAAATGACACCCCAAACCGAGGGCCGAAATAAAATCCTTGCCTATCTTTTCCTTTTTCTTCACTTTTTGAGGATACTGCTATACAAATCAACCAACTCCAGACTTCAGAGATCTTAAAAAGGTTTTACAGATTTCTTCAAAGGTATTCCTATGCAAATTTTAATCGCAAAATAGGTAGTGAAACAAGAGGCCCATGGGCCACATCGCTCATCTGAGTAGCTTTGACCATTCCGTTCTTTACCAAATTTCCCCCTTGTAATACATATTGTGACCCCACTCTACCCCATTGATCATAATTTAGAAAATTTGAAATCTACACTACCATAGGATGCTTTTATTCCCCATTGTAAAACTTTGATACCCTATTGTGGACCTGCCCTACACCCAGGGGTTATGATTTGAACAATTTAGAATCTACACTACCCCAGAATGCTTCCACATAAGTTTCAGCTTTTCTGGCCCAGTGCTTCGTGAGAGGAAGATTTTCAAAGATTTGCCCTTTATATTTCTATTTAAAACTTTGATTCCCAATTGTGGTCCCGCCCTACCCCCGGGGGTTATTATTTGAACAATTAAGAATCCGCTCTACCCAAGGATGCTTCCACATAAGTTTCAGCTTTTCTGGCCAAGTGCTTCTTGAGAAGATTTTCAAAGATTTTTCCTTTATATTTCTATGTAAAACTTTGATTCGACATTGTGACCCCACCCAACCCCTGAGGTCATGAATTAACTTATTTAAAAGCTACATTACCCCACGATGCTTACACATAATTTTCAGCTTTTCTGGCCCAGTGGTTCTTGAGAAGAGTTTTTTAATGACCCCACCCTATTTTTGTCTTTTCTTGATTGTCTCCCCTTGTGAGGGGACTTGGCCCTTCATTTTAATAATTGTAAATCCTCTTCACCCAAGGATGCTTTGTACCAAGTCTGGTCAAAATTGGCCCAGTGGTTCTTGAGCAGAAGTCGAAAATGTGAAAAGTTTACAGACGGAAAACTAGACAGACAGACGGACGGAGGACGGACAAAATGTGATCAGAAAAGCTCACTTGAGCCTCCGGCTCAGGTGAGCTAAAAAGTATTGGGAGAAAAAATAAAGCTTTTAGAAATGAACTATTGCGACAACGATGCCAAAGAAACACACAAAATTTGATCAGAAAAAAGATAATTGTACTATTATGTTCATTTAACTTAACCGACTAGTCCTAGACTTACCTTAACCCAAGTAAGTGTAGTATAATACTTAGACAAACACGCGTCATCAACCGATGTCTACTGCCTACTTTTCGTACTTACTTTGATTTTTATAAGATTCGGGATTGTATATATAAGAATTCTTTTTTTCTTCGGCTGAGATTCGAAGAAACGAATTCGAAAGTTATTCAGAAATATTTACTAAAAGAAATCGATACAACAGAGGTACAATGTACTACTGAAAAAAATATATATGCATTCATTTAAATGCTCGACACGTTTTGTAAATCCCAGGTGCATTCTTTCCAACTGAGTTTTCGAAAAACAGTGTAAAATAAAGGAATTGTCAATAGTCGCTTGAAAAGGTGCACGTCACATAATCTAAAATGTTTAGAAACACACATGAAAGATGACAGTCATTTGCATATATATCCTTTACACTACCTTTTAACACTTTATTTTAGATGATAATCGAACTCATATTGATGACGAAGAGGATATCAGATTATAAATTAGGACAAATGCTGTAAAGAATTTTTTTATCCAAACATTGTACATTATTGACTGAATTCTCGGGCAAAATGCGTTTTGTGGGACCCTAAAACCAAACTGTTTTATGTAAACACAGTTTGGTTCGAGGGTCAATAAACATTGTCAGTAAATGTTTTTTAATACCTTTTATTTGTTTGTGGTTTTTTTTTGGGGGGGGAGGGGGGATAAACATATCTTGTACGGTCTCTCAGGTCTGTCACTGTTGTGCACCAACGAATGCAAATGACATTATTAAGCTCCGTCCATTGTGTGACGTAAGAGGTCAGCATAAACATTTCGTCGACAGGTCCAACATCTCCCTCAGCGGTCAAACATTTTTTTATGCCCGCTAAGTAAAACATTGAAAATGTTTTTTTTTCGTTTGTATTCGAACATTTTTAAAGATATAACAACATGATATACTTTTACATGTACAATATACAAATTTAACATTAAAAATTTATGTATCATGAGCTCTTCTTGAATATCGCTCAATTCCCATTCAATGATTGTGAATTCTGGACAGGAAGTTAGCTTGTATCCTTGTCTTAAATTATCAGTCCTTTCTTGATCGACTCGTGTACGTATGGGACATTCCTTTTTTTCTTTTCCTTCTCAAACGTGGAAGCAGCTTATACAACGGTTACATGTATTCTTTTTACTTAAAAAGAAAATAAATCGTATTTGATAATAACTTACCTCTGTTGAACATAAATTGACACAGTAATAGAAATGTTTAAGAAAAGTATCTTTTTTTATTATTCTAAAGTAATGGATATGTTGTTGACTAAAATGTAATATATGAACCATTAAAAATATTGAATTACCAGGAAGTAAATTTGAAAAAAGAAGATTTAAAATAATAACAATAACATTTTGTGACGAACAGGATTTAAAGTTCTGACAAACCGAAACTAAGTACATGAGTTAACATGAAACCTACACATTCATTGGGCTTTAAATACATTGGCGATTTCAGAAAATGAAGAGAAACTGGGTTAACATATAAATAAAACGACGAAGGAAATTGAATATTGTACAAGACAAGTAAATCGCTATTTAAACTTCATGTAATCTTAAAGGATAATATAAGAAATTTTCAGAAAATGCCATGATTTACAAATGTATATAGCTTAGATTAAACAATATTTGACAATTTTATCATTTAACGAAATAAAGTGTCTAAGTTGGACAGTTTTATACGTCATCTTGGACATTCTATCGGAATAAGTTCGCATGTTTAAAGCACATCTTGACCCCAAGTCCGAAAGAGTGTGTGACACATTACTCTTGAGTGAGCGGAGGAACGTTACGGAAGCTTAAGAAGGATATAAACTTCAAAGTTCTTTAATAAGATAAATACTTTTCTGACAGGTTTGACCCATGTTTAACGCTAATGGAATGGATAGAAACGTTGCTAGACCAACACGTCTTCTCAGGATTAATAATTGAAATGTTTATTCCACGCAAACCAAGATTTGTTGATGCCCAGACTTATGAACATCGAAGGACTACTGCAAATTAGATGTTGATAGACACGGTTGCCCGATTGTCCATGATATCATACAAAACAAAAGAAGGAATATACGATGTAAGCATTGAAAATATACAAAACTATAGGTTTTATGGACGAAAAATAGCACAATTTGTGACTAAATCAACAGACATACCCTTTAGGCTCTTGTTTCCTATATATCTTTTAAAAAGAATCTTTTGAGATGCGATGCTGACCTTCAGGTATTGAAAGGTTTCTAGGAAGTAAAATTGAAAATAGATGATTTTCGAAAAACAGAGTAAAAAGGATAACCTTTCATCCGAGTATTGTCAGTAGGAACAAAAATCCTGTATATATCCATCTCTATATGAAAGGTGGGTTTAAAATACCAAGGGAATTTCATAAGATATACCAGTATCGAACGTTAGACACACTTTACTTGCTGATGTACATAGTTCTAAACGGAGGTGTATGTGGAAAGAATATTAAAGAGGACAGTTAACGTTATACATCAAGCAAAATCATACAGAAAAGAAGAAAATAAACTCAAACATTATAAAGGTTGAGGAAACTTTTAATTAATTAACTCAAGATTTTTCTGAGACTTCCTAGAACAATTCTCAGGTAAATTTAGACTTTCAGTAAGGTGTGGCATTCTCGGCACTACGCAATTAGCGTCTGTCAAATTGCAAATAGATTCTCATTGGTTAAGAAATTAATAACATCAAGAAACTTTAAATTGTTGTTGACAAGGATGAGACGAATTAAGCCCCATCTAACATAACTAGACAATGTTATTGGATATTCGATACACTAATTGGTATTTGACCAAATTTCTATCCCATGTATATTCCAACAGTGAATAAGTTTCCGATGCTAATTATGTAATGTCGAGAATGCCACGTCTTAATTACTGAAAGTCCAAGTTTACCTGAGAATTGTCATAATTTTAAGTTATTTGACTACACTTTCGTCACAATAGCTCATTGCAAGATGATCAGAAAACAAAAAGTAATAAAAAATGTAGCTAAACATAAATATAAATTCCCGATTAATTGGAATCATGGACAGGATGGGAAATTGTGAAGTCAAAGATTTCAATTACTCTAGCAAATATGAGAACCTTATAATATGAAAGGTTTTTACAAAATACAAATGATTAATATATAGTTTGGTTCGGTTAGGTTTTCTTCCTAAGAATCACGTTTATAATATAAGATCAAAACATATTACTTCAATAGCAATGACATTAAAAGAATTTTTCACTCATATGGAGACGTCACCGTATGCCGGTGAAGGGCTTCAATTACTCTGCACTCAGGGCCATTGAGCAGTGGGGGATCTTTATCGTGCAAACGCCTGCCGCTGACACGGTGCCTCGGTTTTTTAGGTCTCATCCGAAGGACCCGCAACTTTCACTTCAAAGTGCCGAGCGCATGGCGAAGGAACAGTTGCTACCCATTTTAACGACTAGGTCAGTCGCGGCAGAGATACAAACTCACGACCTCCCGATCACGGAGCGAGCGCTCTACCGACTGAGCTACCGTGAACGGTGACACTAAAAGAACAACTGAATGAAATTCACTATATATACTTTTTTCCTTCGTCCTAACTGGATAATGATTAGTAAACAAAAGATAACGAACTTTAACAAAAGAATCACTTATAATAAAAAAAAATAATCCAATCTATAATGTTATATCAGTGTAGCTGTAGACTGATTGGTATAACGAACAGTAGTTCTTTTGTTTCGAAACACAGTCTGCAACTACCCTAAACGCACCCTAAAAATCCATAAGTCACAGATACACCTTGAGACATATAAATACAAGCTAAAGTCACCAAGACACCATAGCTAGTCACAAAGACACTACGGAATTGGGTCGCTGGGCTGAGTGGTATAACTAACAATTCTATGGTTTCCCTACACAGTAAATGTACCCTTCCCTAGTCACCTTACTCCAACAAAGAGATACACCAAAAGTAAGCAAAGCTAGTTTCATCTTTTTATTTACACTATTTTGCATCTGTTCAACTTGTACTGATTGGTTAAACATTCCAATCATTTGGTCGGCTCTTTGTAAACTATGATTGGCTACACATGAAATGATTTGATTAGATGATTCAAAACCTTTTTCAATCCATTTTACTACCTCTGAGTCATTATACTTACTTGCGGGTATATTATTATGTATTTCTGCACCAAAGGTACTTTTAAATTTATATAAAAAGATGCAAACAAAACTTCAGTTGATTCATTGAATGTGTGTCCACTACACTTTAGGTGAAAAAAAGTTATGATTTTTTTAATTTAATATTTGAAAAAAATAGAATTGTTGGGTATCAATTGAAAATAACTTGTTGCATTAAATAGATTTAATAATATAAGTTAAAATTAAATTACTGAAAATTATTAAATTTTTGTGCTATGCTCCGTCTTTAAAAATCTGGCTCAAAGACCATTAACTAAGAACGGAGAATAAACAGACTTTTTCTTTATTTTATATATCTAGTTTAATTTTACGTATTCGCATAATACTCATCTGCAATATGTGTGGCATTGCAATGAAAGCATTTGATGTAATATTTGTTTCACTATCTAACTCATTTACAGTTTTTTAGGTTTAGAATCTTGATTTAAGTCTATTCTCAGCTCATGGTCTGAAAATATAATAGACATTCAGTGCACTTTACCTCACCTTAGCATAAAGCCCCGAGGGAGTCAATATTTCAACCATACTTGGTAAAGAATATGCGAATTCGGTTAAAGTATTAAAGAAGGGCAATACTCTCTTTCTAGTGGAGAATATCAATACGTGTAAAGAAAGTGAAATGAGGAAGCATTGAAACATCTTGTTATGAACCACTGGGCTAGAAAAGATGAAACTAAAATTTAAAGTGATCTTAATCTATTTTGCTGGCCCCTGAATGTGATCCCATTTCTGATGTTTTATAGTTCGGTGTTTGTTTTGCTTCCAATATGAATAGTTTTAGCGGACATTTAATCTTTAATATTGTTCGTTGTATCCATATTAAAGATTATCCTTAAGAAATATTGCATGAGGAAATAATAACTACAACCACTGCATAAGAAATTGCTGGAAAACATTGGTATTACATGTACATTTGTGTACATTCTCCAACATAATTGTACATTCTAATTCCCACATATACAAAAAAAATATTTCACTCCTGTATAAACATGAATAAATATATTTATTAACGTTGCCTAGGTGACAGTATGACGTATCAATCCGGTTTATACAGGAATAAATGAAAGTATATACGTTTCCTAGGTGACAATATGACGTATCAATCTTGTTTATGCATGAATAAATGGAAGTATATATGTTTCCTAGGTGACAGTAGGACGTATCACTCCGGTATGCCGTT